TATCTATCTATCTATCTATCTATCTATCTATCTATCTAATCATCAATCATCTATCCAGCTAGCTAGCTGGGTAACCCCAGAAATAACAAACATAGGCTGTGTAAATTCCAAATAAGATGATGGAAAACAGAATGAGGTGGGAAAATGCCTCAACCTAAAAAAAAGGGTGGAAAAAAATTAAACGCATATAAAGATGGTAGAAATAAATCCCAAGTCATCAATAAAATACACCAATTCTAAACACCTATGCACCAAAGAGCATTACCTCAAATATATATAAAGCAAAAATGTCAGCATTGCAAGGATCAACTGACAAATCCAGTGGGAGACTTTAACACAACTCTCTCAATAATTGATAATCAGACAAAATCAGAAAAGGGTATATTATAGATGAACTGAGCTGCACAATAAGCTAACTTATTTTTCAATGATGGCATATAGGAAACTATATCCAATATTAAAAATTTTTTTTTCAAGCACTCATGGAACATTTAAGAAAGAAGTTGCAGAGATAAAAATGTAAAAAAGGAGCACATGGAAGTAGTTCAATGCATATTTCAAACTCTCTCTAAGGACCCAAACCTATTTTGTCTTAAAAGACAGAGACCCTGTCTTTCTTGTTCATTGATTTATCTGCAGAGTCTAGCACGGTGCCTGTCACAAAGGAGGCTGTAAATAGCCACTGAAGAATGAGTGGTGAAGGAATGATTCTCTACTGAAGATGGTGCAGGTTGCATGAGCAACCAGCAAGGCAGATGCTGGAGGTCACTAAAGCCCTTTCCAACATGGAGGGGACGAGAGGACAAGGTGACTGGCACCAGTCTCTAGGGAGAATTTATGCCCAAAAAAGAAAGACGGAGTCATGACAGCCAAATCTTCAAATCTTCAAACCCAATGAGAGAGGCATGTGGAAGAGTCTTTGAAAGCCAAGTGTTTGTGGTTCCAAATGGCAGAGCAGAGACCAGCAGACAGAACTTTCTAACAACTAACTGTCCAATCCTGGCTGGAAACTGGCCTGACGGATAGTCTAAGGCCCCTTATGACTCTGTGTGAGACAGAAGACTGGCAGGCACTGGGAGTCTCAGATCATGGACGGAGTAGTCTTTCCGATTCTATCCTGCCTCAGAGATTTTTTTCATTCAAAATTCCCAGGATACCCCATCCTAAAAGATTTGTCTAAGATCCCAGATTCAGGTGGCGGCAGAAGAAGAAGAAGAGTTCCATTCCAGACACTCACCTCAGTCCTTTCTGCTCCATATCAGCCTCTCCTTTAACCAGAGTGAGCACGCTTTAACCTGTAAGGCTGACAGGCACTTTCTAAGTCTACCCTCAACTCAGGAAACCTCCTTCTTCTGGCGCATAGCAAGGGATTACAAATGCATGCAGAATGTGTTAAAATGAAAATTATTCAGCCTTCCAGAAGAAAGAAAGCAAGCTCACCTTGACCTCCGCAGCAGATGGCTGAGTTGGGGGCCTGGTTCTGGGGGCTTCTCCTGTGGTCGGCCAGTCATGCTGCTTTCATGCTGCTGGGCAGGTGGGAAGAGGAGACCTGGTCCTGTGGGGAAAAGAAGAAGGAAAGGTCATTTCCTCACATTTGCCCCTAGGTCTCCATCACCTCCTGGAGAAGACACTACCAGAAATCCCAGGGAAATTCCTGAGGCTGTCCTCACCCACTCTTAGGTAACAAGGAAGCAGACAGGCATGCATTCGACAAACGTTTCCAAAGGCCTGCAATGTGCCAGACAGGGCACTGAGGAATGAGGCCACAGAGATGAATTGCATGCAGTTCCTGCATGTGGGAAACAGTCAGAGAGAGAGACAGGGAGACCTGAGTTTCATTAGAATATAATTTGCTAAGTTCTGTGATTCCCCACATTCGTTCACAGCTGACTTTCCTTACAGGGGAGCTACAGCAGCTTACAGGCGCCTTGGCATAGAGCTTCTCAACTTACTTGTCATGAAGGATCAGTTTTTTTAAAAAATTTCCAAACCATTACAGATGAACACTTTTATTTTATTTTTTTGAGATGGAGTCTTGCTCTGTCGCCCAGGCTGGAGTGCAGTGGCGTGATCTTGGCTCACTGCAACCTCTGCCTCCCAGGTTTAACCAATTCTCCTGCCTCAGCCTCCCAAGTAGTTGGGACTACAGGTGTGCTCCACCATGCCCAGCTATTTTTTTTTGTATTTTTAGTAGAGGCGGGGCTTCACTGTGTTAGCCAGGATGGTCTTAATCTCCTGACCTCATGATCCACCTGCCTCGGCCTCCCAAAGCACTGGGAGCAATCAGGCCACGCCACTTTCATAAAATATAGTAAAAATAAACTGATAAAAAATGAAATGAAAAGATACTGATACAAAGTGCAAGCTCACTTTTTAAAAATTTTTATTTTTTATTGTACTTTAGGTTCTGGGGTGTATGTGCAGATCATGCAGGATTGTTGCATAGGTACACACATGGCAGTATGGTTTGCTGCCTCCATCTCTCCATCACCTACATCTGGCATTTCTCCCCATGTTATCCCTCCCCAAACTCCCCATCCCCCCACTGTCCCTTTGGCTACCCCACAACAGACCCCAATGTGTGATGCTCCTCTCCCTGTGTCCATGTGTTCTCATTGTTCAACACCCACCTATGAGTGAGAACATGCGGTATTTGATTTTCTGTTCTCGTGTCTGTTTGCTGAGAATGATGGTTTCCAGATTCATCCATGTCCCTACAAAGGACACAAACTCATCATTTTTTATGGCTGCATAGTATTCCATGGTATATATGGGCCACATTTTCCTTGTCCATTCTATTGTTGATAGGCATTTGGGTTGGTTCCAGGTCTTTGCTATTGTAAGCAGTGCCACAATGAACATATGTGTGCATGTGTCTTTATAATAGAATGATTTATAATCCTTTGGGTATATACCCAGTAATGGGATTGCTGGGTTAAATGGAATTTCTATTTCTAGGTCCTTGAGGAAGTGCCACACTGTCTTCCACAATGGTTGAACTAATTTACACTCCCACCAACAGTGTAAAAGTGTTCCTATTTCTCCACATCCTCTCCAGCATTTGTTGTCTCCAGATTTTTTAATGATTGGCATTCTAACTGGCGTGAGGTGGTATCTCAATGTGGTTTTGATTTGCATCTCTAATAATCAGTGATGATGAGCATTTTTTCATATGTTTGTTGGCCTCATATATGTCTTCTTTTGAAAAGTGTCTGTTCATATCCTTAGCCCACTTTTGGATGCTTTTTTTTTTTTTTTTNTTTGTTGACCTTGTATATATCTTCTTTTGAAAAGTGTTCATATCCTTCACCTACTTTTGAATGGGTTTGTTTGTTTGCTTCTTGTAAATCTGCTTTAGTTCTTTGTAGATTCTGGATATTAGCCCTTTGTCAGATGGGTAGATTGCAAAAATTGTTTCCCATTCTGTTGGTTGCCAGTTCACTCTAATAATTGTTTCTTTTGCTGTACAGAAGCTCTGGAGTTTAATTAGGTCTCATTTGTCTACCTTGGCTTTTGTTGCCAATGCTTTTGGTGTTTTAGTCATGAAGTCCATGCCTATGCCTATGTCCTGAATGGTTTTGCTTAGGTTTTCTTCTATGGCTTTTATGGTATTAGGTATTATGTTTAAGTCTTTAATGCATCTGGAGTTAATTTTAGTGTAAGGTGTCAGGAAGGGGTCCAATTTCTGCTTTCTGCACACTGCTAGCCAGTTTTCCCAACACCATTTATTAAACAGGGAATCCTTTCCCCATTGCCCGTTTTTGTCAAAGATCACATGGCTGTAGATGTGTGGCACTGCCTCCAGGGCCTCTGTTCTGTTCCATTGGTCTATATCTCTGTTTTGGTAACAGTACCATGCGGTTTTGATTACTGTAGCCTTGTAGTATAGTTTGAAATTAGGTAGCATGATGCCTCCGGCTTTGTTCTTTTTGCTTAGGATTGTCCTGGCTATGTGGGCTCTCTTTTGGTTCCATATGAAGATTAAGGTGGTTTTTTCCAGTTCTGTGAGGAAGCTCATTGGTAGCTTGATGGGGATAGCATTGAATCTATAAATTACTTTGGGCAGTATGGCCATTTTCACAATATTGATTCTTCCTAACCATGAGCATGGAATGTTTCTCCATCTGTTTGTGTCCTCTAGTATTTCCTTGAGCAGTGGTTTGTAGTTCTCCTTGAAGAGGTCCTTTACATCCTTTGTTAGTTGTATTCCTAGGTATTTTATTCTCTTTGTAGCAATTGTGAATGGGAGTTCGCTCATGATTTGGCTCTCTGTTAGTCTGCTATTGGTGTATAGAAATGCTTGTGATTTCTGCACATTGATTTGGTATCCTGAGACTTTGCTGAAGTTGCTTATCAGCTTAAGGAGATTTTGGGCTGAGATGACGGCATCTTCTAAATATACAATCATGTCATCTGCAAATAGAGACAATTTGACTTCCTCTTTTCCTAATTGAATACACTTTATTATTTTTTTCTTGCTTGATGGCTCTGGCTAGAATTTCCAATACTATATTGAATAGGAGTGGTAACAGTGGACACCCTTGTCTAGTGCCAGATTTCAAAGGGAATACTTGCAGTTTTTGCCCATTCAGTATGATATTGACTGTAGGTTTGTTATAAATAGCTTTTATTATTTTGAGATATGTTCCTTTGATACCTAGTTTATTGAGAATTTTTGGCATAAAAGGGCTGTTGAATTTTGTCGAAGACCTTCTCTGCATCTATTGAGATAATGATGTGGTTTTTGTCTTTGGTTCTGTTTGTGTGGTGAATTACGTTTATAGACTTGCCTATGTTGAACCAGCCTTGCATCCCTGGAATGAAGCCTACTTGATCGTGTTGGATAAGCTTTTTGATATGCTGTTGCAATCGGTTTGCCAGTATTTTATTGAAGATTTTTGCATCTATGTTCCTCATGGATATTGGCCTGAAGTTTTCTTTTTTTTGTTGAATCTCTGCCGGGTTTTGGTATCAGGATGATGTTGGTCTCATAAAATGATTTGGGAAGGACTCCCTGTTGTTTTTGTATTGTTTGGAATAGTTTCAGAAGGAGTGGTACCAGCTCCTCTTTGTACGTCTGGTAGAATTCAGCTGTGAACCTGTCTGGACCTGGGCTTTTTTTGGTTGATAGGTTATTAATTGCTGCCTCAACTTCAGCCCTTGTTGTTGGTCTATTCAAGGTTTCAACTTCTTCCTGGTTTAGGATTGGGAGGGTGCAAGTGTCCAGGAATTCATCAATTTCTTCCAGGTTTACTGGTTTATGTGCATAGAGTTGTTTGTAATGATCTCTGATGGTAGTTTGTATTTCTGTGGGATCGGTGGTGATATCCCCTTTATCATTTTTTATTGCATCAATTTGGTTCTTCTCTCTTTTCTTTTTTATTAATCTGGCTAGCAGTCTGTCTATTTTGTTGATCTGTTCAAAAAACCAGCTCCTGGATTTACTGATTTTTTTTGAAGGGTTTTTTGTGTCTCTATCTCCTTCAGTTCTGCTCTGATCTTAGTTATTTCTTGTCTTCTGCTAGCTTTTGAGTCTTTTTGATCTTGTTCGACTAGCTCTTTCAACTTTGACGATAGGGTGTCAATTTTAGATTTTTCCTTGCTTCTTATGTGGGCACTTATTGCTATAAATTTCCCTCTAGACACTGCTTTAAATGTGTTCCAGAGATTCTGGTACATTGTGTCTTCATTCTCGTTGGTTTCAAAGAACATCTTTATTTATGCCTTCATTTCATTGTTTATCCAGTTAACATTCAGGAGCCAGTTGCTCAGTTTCCATGAAACTGTGCGGTTCTGAGTTAGTTTCTTAATTCTGAGTTCTAACTTGATTGCCCTGTGGTCTGAGAGACTGTTATGATTTCCATTCTTTTGCATTTGCTGAGGAGTGATTTACTTCCAATTATGTGGCCAATTTTAGAGTAGGTGCAATTCGGTGCTGAGAAGAATGTATATTCTGTGGATTTGGGGTGGAGAGTTCTGTAGATGTCTATTAGGTCTGCTTGGTCCAGATCTGCAAGGTTGGATAGCCTTGTTAATTTTCTGTCTCGTTAATCTAATATTGACAGTGGAGTGTTAAAGTCTCCCACTATTATTGTGTGGGAGTCTAAGTCTCTTTGTAGGTCATGAAGAACTTGCTTAACATACCTGGGTGCTCCTGTATTGGGTATGTATATGTTTAGGATCGTTAGTTCTTCTTGATGCACTGATCCTTTTACCATTATGTAATGCCCTTCTTTGTCTCTTTTGATCCAAACTCACTTTTAAGTTGTTCGATCCAACAGATTATTCTGTCAAATTGGCATGAAAGTTACTAAGCATGGACTCTCAATTTCTGAACTGATCTCATGGACCACTAAAGAGTTTTCAGAGAACACCACTCCTGAGCCACAGCTGAGGAGTAGCATTACTACAGTTAAGACTTCCATGTTGCAGACCTTTCCTAAGACGTCTAGTTGATATCTTGGTTCACAGACGGAGGCAAAGAAGAAAAATGATTTTAAATTCACTCTCTGGACTATAAAAAGTTAGTTCAGACAGTCTCTCTTTGGAAAGGAG